CCAAAAATCAATAAAAACTCGGCAAATTTCGTTACAAAGGCCCCATGAAACTTAAAGCAGGACATAACATAAATATGTGAGCCTCTAAGACATTTTTGAGCAAAACCTCTCTACTAGACTTACTCAAAACTCTATTTTTCAAATTAGTTACTCTACTCACCACTCTCTCAACAATAAACTTAAAAGTATCAATTTGAATTTTTCTTTACCTAAATGGAGACCTAAGTATTTTGAGTGTTTCATAACAGTTATCCCTTCAAAATCTCACAAACAACCTGCTTAGTGTCAACCAAAGTGTTCTTGGAAGAAAAAATTAAGATTTGGTTATATTGACTTTCTTACCGGATGCTCTTTCATAACAAGTTAGGAATTTTTTCCAAAATTGAATGTTTTACAATAAATGATAGAGTATCTACAAAAAAATAAGTGTGGAATTGCAGGCAAAAGGACAAATCTTAATACCTTAGAAACAAATTACTCACACAAGCTTGCTGAATGAGATTGGACAAAGCTCAAATGAAAGGATAAGCAGATATGGGAACAAAGGGTCCCACTGCCTTAGTCCTCTAGATGGTTTAACAAACCCCTGAGGTTGGCCATTGAGTTTGAATTAAAAAGAAAAGATTTTTTTTTCTCGAAACGAAAATAATATTAAGCCAAACTCAGCAAAGTTCAGATACAGAGGGCATGTCTGAGGACATAAACCTTAGCCATAGACGGAGGCTAAGTGATAAAGGGATGCAACCCTTATAGAGCAAACGAAGACATAAAAATAAGTACAACCTGACAGGCTAAACAAATGAAAGACTAAAATTTACAGGGCTAGAAAACAATGGAGATCAAACAGAAATAAAGCCAGAACCAAAAAAGACACCGGGTAGCCATTGCAACTTGGAGATCTTGTAGAAGCTTGCCACTGAACCCATCCGTTCCTAGCCCAACTTCCACAAAAAATAAGCTTTCCCCCAAAAATGACCAACGCCAAAAAATAGAAGAACAAGATGCAAATAACCAGAGCAAAGTGCTATGAACCAACATTTGAAACTTCCTCGAATTCCACCCATTCTGCCCAAGCTCCTCGAGCAATATCAACTTCGGATTTCCAGATCTTATTAAAGATCCAAATATTTCGAGACTTCCACAACCACCAGAGTATATAAGAAGAAAAGTGTATACGGTCGTGAAAGCTTCTAATTCTCTTCATAGAACAGATGTCTTGCCACCAAGTTTGGAAAGTGAAGTTTGAGAGGTGCATACCTTCCCAATGTAAGCCGGCATGCTTCCAAACTTTTACAGCACAGGGGCAAAAGAATAGAATGTGGTCGAGAGATTCCTCAGCAGACCCACAAACACTGCAAATGGGGTCCACAAGAATACCTCTCTTGATGAGCTGGTCATTGGTGCCTAAATATTTGTACCAGCAACGCCAGAGAAAGACCTTAATTTTGTTTTTAATTTTCAGAGCCCATGTGGTCTTCCAGGTCTTAGAAAGTCTTTGGCTTTGTTTGCTGGATTCAGGGGGTTTGAAGAGCATTTTCCTTTCAGATAGAATGGACAAATAAGCAGATTTAACAGAGAATTTACCTTGCTTATGAGGAGTCCAGATCATAGCATCTTGTTGGCCTTCCTTGAGGGGGATATTCAGAATTTTTTGAGCTTCTTCAGGCCTGAAAGTTTGCTCTACAAGCTCATTATCCCAAGCAGTGGCATCTGAATTCATAAGCTCCCTTACTTTTTTCAGTGTCAAGCCATCAGAAGAAGAAGCTATGGTGGGGGAGAGATTTTGAATCCCTACAACCCATGGATCTGTCCAGATGTCTGTGTTGCTGCCATCTCCAATAGACATGATGACTTTTTTCCTGAGATGAGGGATTGCTTTCATCCAAGTACTCCATAGCCAGGAATCAGAGCATTTATGCTTTACCTTCCACAGGGATGAGTTATGAAAATACTTCCCTTTGATAATTTTGCTCATCAATAGCTCAAGATGCTGGATAATTCTCCATAGCTGCTTCATGATAAGGGCATCATTGAAGGCTGCAAGACATTTGAATCCCAAGCCTCCATCTTCCTTTGGCAGTGTAAGATTATTCCATGAAGTCCAGTGAATTCTTCTGCCACCATCTTGTTTATTACCCCACCAAAAGGAAGCAGAAAGTCTGCTTATTTCTTCACATGAAGCCACTGGTAATATAAAACAAGACATAACAAAAGTGGGGAGAGCCCCTATAACAGATTTTAACAAGATCTCCTTACCAGCTTCACTAAGAAAAATATTTTTCCATGAATTTATTCTACTAGAAACTCTATTTACAACAAAACTGAAGGTTTGCTTTTTGGATCTACCAAGCTCCAGAGGCAATCCTAGATAAGAAGAAGACTGGACAACAGAGATACCTTGCAAAATATAGCAGATTTCAGCTTTTAGAGGGGCTTGGGAATTTTTGGAAAAATAGACAGAGGATTTACTCAAGTTGACCTTTTGTCCAGATTCTTGACTATAAAGGTTGAGAATGTGAGAAATCAAAGAAACATGGTGGGCATCAGCTTTGCAAAAGAGAATAGAATCATCAGCAAAGAAAAGATGAGTGATGGAGGGAGAGTGCTTGCTAATTTTAATGCCCTGGAAAGAGTGATTGATGGTGGCTTGTTTGATAAGATTGGAAAAAGCTTCAGATATTATTATGAAGAGGTAAGGAGATAATGGATCGCCTTGTCTGAGGCCTCTGGAGGGTTTGAGAGAACCAAGAGGTTGGCCATTTATATTGAAAGTGAGATGAGAGGTAGTGATGCAAATCATTATCCATGAGATGAATGTATGGCAAAACCCCATTTGATGACATATAGCTGCTTCGACACAATCAAAAGCTTTCTGCATGTCTAGTTTGATAGCCATGAAACATTGATTGCCAGATCTTTTGCTGTCCATGAAATGTATGCATTCATTTGCAATGATAAAGTTATCAAGCAACTGTCTATTGGGAACAAAGGCTGCCTGGTTAGGGCTAATGCAGTGGTGGAGAACCAGTTTGAGTCTATTGGCAAGAATTTTCGAGATGAGCTTGTATGTGACAGTGCAAAGGCTAATGAGTCTATAATCGTTGATAGTTTGGGGGTTTTTCTTTTTAGGGATGAGGGTTATAGCAGTGGTGTTGGTTTCTTTTGGCATCCTACCAGAAGCAAAGAAAGACTGAATAGCTTTAAACAGAATAGTATTAACAGTGCTCCAAGAGGATTGGAAAAAAAAGTGGGGACATGCCATCGATACCTGGAGCTTTATTAGGGTGCATCTCCCATAAGGCCTTTTTGAGTTCCTCCATAGAAACAGGTCTGATTAGATTAGAATTCATGGCCTCTGTGATTGAGTGAGGAATGCCTTGAAGGCTGGTGAATCTTAATGAGGAGCAGGATGACTTGAACAGCTTTGCAAAATGATTGTGAACCTCCTGAAGGATATCTTCTGTTGAAGAACAGCTTTCACCATTGCTATTCACTAGACCCTCTATATTGTTTTTCCTTCTTCTATGTTGCACACAAGCTTGAAAATACTTCGAGTTTTTATCACCTTCTCTTAGCCAGGTGACCCTAGCTTTTTGTGCCCAATATTTCTCCTCAGCTGCATATGCTAGATGCAATTGTTTTTTCAGCTGATCCCATTGTGCCCAATCTCTGTCTGGACCTTGTAGAGCAAAATCTTCTAGTTTTGCAGTCAGGCTGTCAATGGATTTTTTGGAGTTGGTCAGAGTTGAAGATTTCCACTTCAGCAGGGCCACTCTGACAGTTTTGATTCTGCTTGTATGTTGTACAGATCCTCTCCATGGTTTCCACTGTTCCAAGCTTCTGAGACCGTATTGGAAAATCCCTCTTCTTTAGTCCATCTGGAATCGAAGTAGAATCGTTTTCTCTGCTTAATGGTGGAGTCATCAGTATCTAGCATTATAAGGCAGTGATCTGATGAGAGGAGCGGAATGTGCTTTGCTTTGGACTTTGGAAAGAGGAGAGCCCATTCAGGTGAAACGAAAAATCTGTCGAGCCTTTCCTCTATAAAATCACCGCCTTGCCTGCAATTGTTCCAGGTAAATGGATATCCCTTATAGGGAATTTCAGACATCCCCATACAATTAACAAAAGATTGGAAGGATTTGAGGCTTGCCTCACTCCTAGGAGAGCCACCTCTTTTTTCGATGTTTGACAAGATGTCATTGAAGTCTCCTCCTAGGAGCCAAAATTTTCCCCAATTTAATTTGCATTGACTTAAGAAATTCCATTGGATTCTCTGAAATTAGAGTCGGTACAAGCATGGATAAAAACTGCCCAGAAGGTGGTGGGGACTTTGTCAAAAGCGAAACAGACTTGAATAGAGAAGTGGTTACTAATAATTTGAAAAATAGTAATACGATCTGACCAACACAAAAGAAGCCCACCACTAGAGCCATCTGGGGGTTCAAAATACCAGTTATCAACAAGTTTAAGTTTTCTACAAACCGAGAATACAAAATTTTTGGTTTTTTTTAACTTCTGAAAGAAAAAAGAAATCCGGGAGGTGAGCCCTTAGCGTCTCTCGGATTTGGGAAATTGTAGAGGGCCCTCCCAGACCTCTACAATTCCACACCGAGACTCTCATTTGGAACTTTGGGCCCAGTTTTGGTTGGCTGCCCCCACCTTATTAGATTGGTCAGAGTGTTGGTCATTATCACAAGAAGTAAGATAAAGGAGTTTGCATTTTTTGCTATCTGGGGAAGGGATGTCTGTGAGAGGATTTTCTTCTTCCAAAAGAGGCCTTTTCTTATTGAGTGAGAGGGGGCAGTCTTGTTTCATAATTTCAACATCAACAAGCAGAGACCCTCGGGAATTAGCCCTGGTTTTCTTGGAGGATTTAACTGGTTTTTTGCCTCTCTTCTTTGAAGGAACTTGGATGCTGAGGGAGGGGAGAGTAGGAATTGTGATTGGTGTGTCTGATTGGATTGGTATGTCTGAGAGTTGGAGATGGGGTGGTTTATTTAGGATGATTTGGTTCGGAGGAGTTGAGAACTCGATTGGCATAGGGTCAGTATGATTGTTTGAGTTATCACTGGGATTGATGCAAATAGGGCCACAGAAGTTTAAATTGGGGGTTGGTTCAGAAGATGTATTTATTGGAGAGGAGGGCTGGGCTATTTTATTAGAATCCCCAATTTCACTGGTTTTACCTGGACTGGTAGTTTTTGTCAAGTCTTCGTTGGATTGATTAAAGACTCTGGACCAGTGGAAGCTGCCTGAACTTGCTTTGATCCATTCCCCATACTGTCCAGGATGGTGCTTGTTGTTCTTAATATCCTCTCTCTTGTGGCAACAGTTTCTCTCGCTGTGGCCGATTCTTCCACAGTAATAGCAAAATGCTTGGAGGTTTTCGTATCTAAAGCTCACCCATACTGATTCCTGGCCCACCTTTATTTTTGCACCCCTTAACAATGGCTCTTTGAGATTGACGCTAACTAGGATTTTTAACCAGCGACCAGAGATGCTTCCCGATTCAGGCACAAAGACGTCATAAACTTTTCCGAACATTTTGCCTATTTTCATCCCCGTGTCAGCCGAGATCCAGTGCAGAGGCAACCCATGGATTTGGACCCATAGATCGATTTGTTCCTCCTCGTTCCACTGAATACTTGTAGATGACCATTCCTTTAGAAGGATGTACTGCCCGTCAAAGCTCCACGATTTACCTGTTAAAATTTTCTGCTTGTCTTCTTCAGATTGAAAGACAAATTGGAAAGTGTTCTGGCCCACTAGGCGGGTGGTGAACGGACGTTGCGTCCTCCAGATGTTCCCGAGCGTATCTTTGAGACCCATGAGATTAGCCTTCTTTTCTCCATAGATTTTACCTATCAAGCTTCTGGAGCATTCTTGGATTCCAACCACAATATCATCTTCAGATAGAGTAACCCCCGATTCTTCTTTGACGGATATTTCGAACCTGTAACTGAGCTACTAGATCTGAATCCATGAGCGCAAAATAGAAGATCCAGGACTAGAAAGAAGAAGATGAGGGTAGATTAGGGCGTTTATCACAAAAAATTATAGGAAGTTTGATAAGAGGAATGAAGAACAAGGACGATCCCAGATTAGGAACCCTAACACTCTCTAGAGAGAGAAAAGATTCAATACAAGAAAAAAAAATCAGTTTAGAAAAGTTTTACAAAAGCCGAGATGGGAACATATTTTCATCAGGAAAGCCCATTCAACTTGGTCATAGGCCTTAGCCATGTCTAGCTTAAGATCCATAAAAGCTTCTTTACATTTTATTTTACCGTTAAGGAAGTGAATAACTCATTAGCCAAAACTACATTATCGAATATCAACCTAGGAATAAAAGCTGTTTGATTAACTCATTAGCCAAAACTAATTTATAGGCGTACTACATTTTCCTTTTTGTGTCGATCAAAAAATTGACAAGCTCATTACCACAACAGGCGTTGAAACTTCGTCTAATTAGGATGTACGGAAGGATTACAACTCATGGGGGAAATGTGATTCACTTTATTGAGTGTATTTTTCATGATTTAGAGTTATTTTTTTTTGTCCAATATTATTATAGTGTGCTATTTAATAATTTTATAACGCTTCATTATTGTAGTTCTATTAGATATGGCCGCAAGCCAGACCGGCCCGCCGTCCTGGCACCGGACCGGTACTGAACCGGCCCGAAAATCTGCGGTTCCGAGAATCGGGACCGTGCCCTTGCGGTTCGGTCTCGGTTCACAATTTTTTTTTTCTGGTCCCGGCGTGCCGGGACTGGGTCGGGATTGGGCCGGGACAGGGCCGGTTCACTGGCCCAGCCCTTGGTTTTTGGCGGACTGGTAAAAGGTCACCCATGGGAGGCCCGCATGCCTGTTGACTGGCCATCTCTACGTTCTATCGTCCGTTGAACATAATATTTTTGTTTTAAATATGTATGTAGTCTTTTAGACTTTGAATTGTATGTGGAGATCCGACTTCTAAGACTTAAATTGAAAATGTTGTGTATCAATAATATCCAAGTATAATGTGGTTGACTTGTATATATATTTTTTTTTATTTAATTAATAGCTTATTAAAATATGTTGTCTTTGAACTAAATGTGTATGTAGTCTCCTTTAGATTGCAAATACATTTCAAATTCACGTGGTATCAGTTACAACTTTTGATTTCTTGTGTGAAGACAGATGGATATAAACAAGAGCCAAAGACTATTAGCAACACACACGTTTGCCTATTATTTTCCAATAAATGGAAAATTTTATTTTGTCTATCAGATGTTTAAATAGTGAGTTTAGTTAAAAAATATTAATTTGTGAATATAAATGTGACTGGTTGTGAATATCAATGTGACTGGTCATACCATCAATCCACTTATAATGGAATTTTTAATAATACGAAAATAAAATTTATTTTTTTAATTGTTAATTAATTAATAACTTAATAGAATAATTATTATTGAACTATATTCCCCGTGCATCGTACAATTTAACACTAATTGTAAGAATGACCCAAGTTGAAGAAAAAAAAAAAAAAATAGCTCCAAAGTGAGAAGTTCTAATTCAAGATTTATTTGAGACTTTTGATTAACTTTAGGCCTCAAGTTGTAATTCTCTTTAATTAAGAGACCGAAACTCTAATTCATCCCTTTCCACAAGGGAAAAATCTAATAAATGGAAAATAGTGGGCAACGGTGAAGTGCGAACTTCATCATATTTATTAATCTCTCTACTGAAGAAACGAAACAAATAAGTGAAAATGCCGAGTGGTTGCTACATCAGAGCTCTCTGGATTCTGAACAATCAAGACTTTGTTGTTTTCTCCAGGTAGCTATCATCATCTTCCTTGTGCTGCGAAATTCTTCTTGGCCTTAGATCAATGGATTTATTTTTCCGCTTTTATAAATATGTTTGGATCAAATTATCAGGAAGTTTCCGGTGGTAGAGAGAAGGTGGCGCGTGGCCTGTGAGAAGGACGCCGGCGAAAATTTCAAGTATCTTCCGTTGCCTTGTGATTCCGAACTCGCGGCTGCTTTCATTCAACGCAAGAAGAGGTTTCATCTATCTTCCTGAAAAATTGCGTTTGCTTAGCTTTAATTTTCCTCATTGAGTTCGAAATATGCAAATCTGAACCGCCGTTCTTTATCTTTTCGCGCATTGTTTCGAGCTGTTGGTGGAGAAATTTCGAGCTGTAGCTAATGATTTAACCATATTTGGAGGTTTTGCAGATAACAATGTCCTGGTTCATACTTTATCATGTTCTTTATGTTCTTTTTGTTCTTTCGAGTGCTAAAACCTTGTTGATCTAGGAGTATGCCTATATGTGTTTTGAGTTTTCTGACCTTCTTAAAAGTACGCTTAAATAAACCATACCTTTGTCACTAAGGACCATTTAGGACATGATCTAAATTATGCCAATTACTCTTGCTTAGCTGCACGTTCTTGGGGGGCGAAGCCGTGTGTTTTTTCTTCCTGCATATTAAAATTAGAAAGCAAGACAGTGCGCCTAGAAAGTAGAAATACTCAGTTTCAGCTTGGAACTTTTGACATTGATTATGTGTTTTGACTTGTTATTTATTTTAGTTAATCTATGTATGGAATTCATAGTAGTTTTAGGAATTCCTTCTTTTTTCTTTTTCTTTTTGAATGCCTTTGATCTGAACTTCAGTGTTTACTCAATTTCTTAATTTCCTGTGTGTCTCTATTTTTGCTTAGAAATTTAATGATATGTTACTAGCTACATTCAAGGGTTTTCTTTTGTTATTCGTGTACTTTTTTTGTTAGTGTTTTTAGGGATGGAAGAGTGGATATCTATTTGGATTTTCCTTTGCATTTTTCCCTTTCCTTTGGCATTGGAGCGATTGACCTGTAAATGTATGTTGTCAGATATTGTGCATTGCGATACGAGGATAACTATTTGCAAGTTTTCTCTTGCTAATTGATTATGGTGGTTATGACAGGGAGGGGTCTGCTCGTGGATTTGGCCTTCGTGTAAGTCAATCTGTTAAAGGATCAGATTCATGGATCGATGATCCCATTACTCGTCATGTAATCAGTCTTCACATCAATAAAGAAGAGAAAGGGGAGAACAGTTTTTTGTGGCCCCTAATCTTGCATATAAAGGGTCCATACTCTATTCTCATTTTGCCTTTGGTGGAGACTCATCATTTGAAATCCTATTCGAGGATGTGCAATAGCTCAGACTGCGGAAGTGCTGTGGGCGCAGATGAGAATTTGTCTTCCTTGCTCCTTGATCTTCCATCCATCACAGGGTATGGTAAGTTGTAGTCCTACGTGTGAAATTGTTATGCGATTAGTTTCATGATACATTAGGATGGCTTTTCCTATAGTTCTGTCTTGATTTATTGTTCATGGATTTGTATTTCGTCATGTTTTCTTTATCAAAATAAACTATAGGTTATAGGTATGGCATCTGAATAGTTACTCATGGTATCTGGTTTAAATAGGTTATTTTGTATTGATATGTATCTTCGGGAACTTTACAGACTAAACAATACGCCTTTTAGTCATCAACAGTTGAAAATCAGTTGCTTTCTTAACTTCCTCTCGTCTTTTCCTAGAACTCTTGGGCAAATATTTGGTACTGGAGCTTCATTTTTGAGGAACCACTTGAAAGATTTCTCCCATTGAATCCGTCATCTCCCCTTTCCTCTTGCCTGCCCCCTTCTTAAGTTACATTCGCTAACTGTCTAATTCTCTCTCAAGTAGCTATTATACTCAAACTAGTATTCGACCTGTGCATTTGCACAGACGTAAATAAAGTATTATGAGTTATTTGTATGCATATAATGATTAATAATTTTTCTTGCACTTTTCGTCTGCCAAATTTACATTTAAAAGAGCTGGATTTTTTTTTTTTTTTAAAATTGCGTTTATCATATTGGATGTAATGTATATTTTGGTATGTATTTTTTTTATGAATTATTTATTATTTATTTAGGAATTTCAAATATGTTTTTTATTTTTCAAAAGAAGTTAATTTAATTGTAACCACAACAATAACATCTAATCACGTTAAATAGTCAACACATTATATGGTCAGCTATAATTAAATCAAAAGTTTAAAATTATTTTTGTATTTTGAAGTGATTAGTTTGTTGATTATCTAATAATTAAATGAGATGTTAAATAAATAAAAAGTAACGGTTTTTGGAGGGAAAAGTTATATTGCCATATGGGTATAATTTAATAGGTTTAATTTAATGCTCATATGCTAGCAATTATATATATATAGATGATGCTCTGGTTGTCTATCTATTATCTTCTGTGCAGAATTATGTTGTTTTTCCAAGAAATATCATATCTTCATATGTAATATTTTTAAGAGTGGTCTTACTTCTTATTGAGGCCTATACTTGTTTGAATTTTATTTCTGATCCCTTATGAATTTGTTGAACCAGGGCACTCCATGTGGCACAAACTATTGGAGAGATTGTTATGGGAGAATCAGTGGAGCCTGAAGTTGTTGTTGTTGCGTCTCCCTCGGTGGGAGGGTTGCTGGATTCTCTCACTGGAAGTATAGGAATTTCTGGTATTTCAGCCCGAGCAAAACCCATAGCTACTCCTATTGCAGCATCCTCTGCATCTGGGACTGCTGTGAGTGGAGCCGTAATGTCTGATGCTCCAAAGATGGGTTCAAGGCCATTAGACAAAGAAGTACTTCGGTTGTTCATCACTAGCGCAATGCCCTTTGGTTGGTAAACTTTGTTTTTCGGATGATTACAAAAATTACTAGTACAAAAACACCCTCAAAATTTGGTTCCATCTTACATGTAGGCCCAATAGTTAATTGACCTGACAGAATTTGCTGATGTCATAAATTATATACAGATACTATCCTTAACTTCTCAACATAATATTAATAGCCTGGAGCCTGCGAGTTGGGGACCCTGGGGTTATTTGTAGTGTTCAAAAGAGATTGATAAATGTTATTGTGAAAGTATTTGATGGCATTTAGCTTCACTAATTGGAAGTGCAAAATGTTGGAACTTTGTAACTACAATGGCGTGTGTGTGGGCATATATATTATGCGTTTGTGTGTAGTTTTTCCTTTTGCACTTATATATGCGTTTGTGTGTAGTTTTTCCTTTTGCACCCATTTTGCTAGAGACACACCATGCTGTTCTATATAATTCCTTTCTACTCCTTTTTGTGTAGGTACTCCACTGGATCTCAGCCACTCAAATATCTCTGCCATCAGGACCACCGGATTTTCTCCCGCGGATATTCCTCCTCCAGACCGGAAGCAGCCAGCCTGGAAGCCTTATCTCTACCGTGGCAAGCAAAGGATACTGTTCACGATCCACGACACTGTGCACGCTGCCATGTATGATCGTGACGAGATCCCAGACAGTATCACAATTTCCGGTCAGGTCAACTGCAGAGCCGATCTAGAAGGTCTTCCTGATGTCTCGTTCCCGTTGACCGGTCTGGACTCTGCCCATGTTCAGTCCCTGAGCTTTCACCCCTGTGCCCAGGTCCCAGAGCATGCCGGTGACAAGCAGGCTGTAACTTTCTCGCCACCGTTGGGGAATTTCGTCTTGATGCATTACCAGGCACTATGTTCCGTGGGTCCTCCAGTGAAGGGGTTCTACCAGCTCTCAATGGTTTCAGAAAACGAGGGCGCATTTTTGTTCAGACTGAGCCTCGCAGAAGGTTATAAGACCCCCCTGACGATTGAGTTCTGTTCGGTGACCATGCCTTTCCCTAGGAGGCGTGTGGTCTCGCTTGACGGGACGCCTTCGGTTGGGACAGTTTCGTACACCGAACACTCAGTGGAGTGGAAGTTGGTCACAAATACGCGGAGTGGCTCTGGAAAGAACATAGAGGCGACTTTTTCTGGAACAGTTAGGTTTACTCCGTGGCAGGCTCAGAGAGCGATGTTATCTGGGTCTGGGCATGTGAGTTTGGCTGATGAGGATAGTGATCTCGAGACTGAGGCTGGTGGTGGTAGCATGGTTAATGTGGAGGATCTGATAATGGAGAAAATGAATAAAGATCTTCAGGCAGCTGATCTGGAGGAGCCTTTTTGCTGGCAGGCGTACAATTATGCGAAAGTAAGTATTTCCAACCACATTTTAGGTTCTCTTTGACAAGCGGATAGTGAGGAGAAAAAAAGTTACTTTGGTGATGCGGCATGTTTGTGTGTTCTTTGTCATAAAAGTTGCTTGTTGCTTGTTCTCCTCTGATGAAATATTATCAAGGTTAGATCTGTATGTATAGGCCATCCTCTGAAAGTGTGACTGAGAGTACTCCTGTGCAGATCTGCTTCACCTGGAGAGAATTCATTGAATTAATGTTTAAACCAGCACTTACAGACAAGATCTTTTGAGACACTGCCCCCTTTTTGATAAAATATATTATATATATTTAAATTTATACATACAAACACTGAGGCTTGTATGCCTCTGAGTTAGCTAATATATTTGTGAATCAGCTTTTATATATTGTTTGTCCTCACATTTCTCTGTTTATATTGCAATTTATTTTTACATTAGTGTTAATGCTCATGTGTGCAGGTTTCTTTCAAGATGATTGGACCTCCATTATCAGGAATGTCTATTGATCCTAAATCTGTAAGTCTTCTCAGACTTTCAGTCGCATTTACCGTTCAAAAATATACCAAATCAGCACAGTGTTCTTGAATAGACCAGCTCTCTTTCCCAGTTAAGTTTACTATAGAATTCTGGTTCTTTTGCACTAAAATAAAAACAAAATAAAAAGGAACGAAAGATAATGAAGGTGAGGTTGGAAGGCTTCTTTTACCAATGTTTGGATAATCATCTTATGTCATCTCACCTTGCATTAACTCTTTGAACAGAACATCTCTACCTTATACTTTCTTGGTTACATACATGTCTATTACAAATCATAGAAACAGAAGTGAAAGCTTTAAATCTATACTTGCTTCCCGTCAAATGAAATCTTTCTTACCCATAGCATTGCAAATGGCCCTGAAGGAAATATGCTTTGGTATGATGATGATAAAATGAGCAGAAGTTTAGTGCACGTGCTTGCTAAATATGTCATTTACCATTTCCTATAAAGAAGTTTCCATTACTTGTAAATATTAATCTTGTTCACTTACGAAAAAGCCTCTGGATTTCTATGAATATGAAATTTGGCATGTTGTGCTTCTGTTTAATAGATTTCTTTTATGAGCATTTGCAGTCTCTTGAGATGTCAGAATTTAAGTACTGTTGACATGAAGCTTTTAGGGAATGTTTTCGTCTTTCATCTCTGAGTACAAACGTGGTTTCAACATGGTCGCGAAGCTAATCTTGCTTGTCTTAGTCGTATTTTGAGAACATACATTTTTCTGAAGAGTAAGAGTGGAAATCTGCCCATGTCATTCTTTTTATGATTATTTTTAATACGTTTGTGTTGCATAATGATTAAACCATCCTCTAGTTTACTAATTCGATCTGATCTCTCTTTTTTTTTCCTTTTTTTTTTATAAATAAAATGAAGCTTTCCATGTCAAGCAGTCAAATAAGCATGTGAATTTGCATTGTTGCTTTTTTCCATTGCTTGTAATTTTTTTAGATTATATTTTTACAATCAAGTGGCTATTGCAGGTAAGTGTATTTCCTGCAGTCAAGGCAACTGTGGAAATTTCGACTCAGGTATGCTTACCTTCAGACACCAATTTTCTCTTATGTGTTTTTTTTTTTTCTCTTTAAAAGAGAATAACTTGGGCAACATTAGTTGCATATAGTTCCCCATCTCATCCTTTTAAGCATTATTACTTGTACTTGTTTCCTCATTAAAAAATATAGGTTACATCTGGGGATTACATTTTGTGGAATACGTTGGGAAAATGTCCCGTTGCAGCCATACCAGATGCATAAAATATATCTACTTTGCTATCTCGAACACAAAATACGATGCTTTCCCGTCTTGTGATCTGCCCGAGTGTGTCCTGTGAAGATTTTGGCGGCTAGTTATTGTTTGAGTGCTGTTCGAAGCCAGTCAACTGACTGAGCTACATCGTGTTGTATTTTCCATGCCATTGTTCCTTTTACCATATATATCCTTTCATATGTGACAGCGTATTGAATCATGTTGTTTTGGGGAAATCATGTCAATGGTGAGAAGCTGGATAGGTTTCCGGGCGCCTTCTGCTAATTTTTGCTTAAATGAGCTGTACACGTTGCGGCTAACTCAGACTTGATTGTTTATTTAATTGAGAAATGCATATTTATTGAAAGGTGAAAGGAGATTGGATATAAACTTACAAAACCTTAGGACCAAGTTTTCGCTCAGGTTTCATTTGGATCGCCGGGTTTTGAGGTTGAGTATTTTATATCCTCGTACTTGCTGATAATAATCTGTTGAGGCTGCCTTGATGAACTTGTTACCTATTTTATGAGTTTCCTTATTTTGGAGTTAGTGAGTAGCTACTTTAGATCACTTTATCAAATCTTCTCTTGAAATCTATGAATCTTCCGATTCAAATGCAAACATTATTTTTTCTATTTGCTAAATAGCTGCCCACTTTTGTGAATTTTATCATAGAAGGTGTTCAGTTATAGAGTTTGAATAGTGTACTGCATAGCAAATCATGTCTCTGGGTTGAGTTGGGTACTTGTTATGAAGCAATAGGATCTTATTATCACATAGCTGTTGAAGTTTTTCTTTTATTTTCATGTTGTTTCATTTGATGCATGCTACCCTGTTTAAGGGGTGGGGTGCTTGGATACAAATTATCTAATCACTTTTGAGCTGAATTTAGTGGGTAGACAAATTCAAAGATCGCCTAAAAGCTAACAATAGCTAAAATGAGAAGGCCTACAATTGGAGAATAAAAAACACCCCTACGGGAGAGAACACAAACACAAGACCACGAAAAAGGAAAAACACACAAATGCAGACTCCCCTACGGGAGAAAAAACAAACACAAAACCACGAAAAAGGAAATACACACAACGAAACGAAACTTGCTTTGCCACAACACCTACATGTCGACCGACCAACACCCTAATTGGCAACCAGATAGGGGTCGAAACCCAATTAGGGCCAGTCTTCGACATTTTAAGCGCAATAAGCAGAGAAGGGGACAAAACAACAACACGACAAATACAATAAACAAAAAACACCAAAAAGAGCTCTCCTCCACAACAAGAAACCAACTTCACGAAATCCCTCTACCCACCACCGAGAGCACCTACCCCAACAGAGAAAAAACCTAACCAAAGCACCATGACCTGAAACTGCAGAAAACGCCAAACAAGGTCCGATATTCCCGACCCAAAAACTCTCCTAGGTAGTCACTCACGAACCAGTCAAACTGAGGTCAGACTCACACAACTAGGGTTGTAAACGATCGAACCAAAGTTAGTACTGTGATATTCAATTCAGATTCATTAAAATATTCTAGGATTCGTACTCGTAATCGATTTGTAAACGAACTCATATTTTGATTCGGATTCGATTCGTTTAGAATATTCGAATATATTCGATTCGATTCGGAATTCGTTTTCAGAAAGATGTTATAATCAAAAAAATATTATAATTACAAAATAATTATTATGTTTTTTCATGCTTTTAGGAAAAATTGTTAATATATTTGATTCGATTCGGAATTCGTTTTCAGAAAGATGTTATAATAAAAATATATTATAATTACAAAAATAATTATTATGTTTTTTCATGTTTTTAGGAAAAATTGTTAATTTAGGATGTTTCTACTTTTTATGACATAAAAATATTAGGAATATCACAATATATATATATATATATATTGTAAACAAAAGTATACTATATATAATTTATAAAAATTTTATAGTTATCGTTAATGAATCGAACATTTGAATTTCGAATCGTATATCTACAAATCCAAATTCGGATTCGTTTAATTTTTTAATATAAAACATTATTCGTATTCAAATTTGAATTTGAGTATTTCGAATTCGAATCATGAATATCAAATTCGAATATCGAATCGAATTAAAAAAAATTGATTTATTTACAAGCCTACACACAACCCCTCTGACTGGCAGCTAGAAGCCGATAGACGACTAGAGCCCTCTAATCACTTTTGATCAATCGTTTTTTGTTAACTCAAAATTTTATTTAATTGAACTCAACTCAACTCTTCCCAATATTAATATAATTAAATAGAATCAATCAATCACCTTTACATATACTATCAACTTTAATTCACTAATCATCAACTTACACAATTTTAACTATTCATCACTTTCAATAATCACATCTCTTATATTTTTACATCAAATCAACTGTAATCATTTTATTTTAACATATTTTAGATATATTTTAATACAAACTAAAAATATCACTCAAACCTAACTGACGCAGCTAGCGTGTACGAAAGAGAACAAAAAGAGATAAATCTTAAGACTTATGTGTTATTTTCAATTACCGATAGACATTGTACTAAAAATCAACACCTAGGATCTAGGCGCTGCCCGACCGCCTCTGATTTGGTATAAATTGGCTGAAAAATTCGACAGCTTGCGCCTAGTTGGCATAGGCGCTCCTAGGCGGACCTAGGAGGTCGGGGACAATTTTTTTTTTTTTTTTTTATCCTTTATATACTGATTACATTTTTTTGTTATCATGATTTCTTTAAAATATATTAATATTATTATTTGAACTTAGGTGTGTTGATTTATTATAAGTTGAGATAATTTTATTTTGTAGGCATGAAAAATAAATAAAAAAGTAAGGTATTAATCCTGGTTTCTAGGCCCCGACGAGGCGCTAGGCGCTGGTCGAGCGCATAGTGGATGCCTAACGACTTCTAGAACACTGTCGATAAGTCAAGCCTATGAAACATAAATATATAGAATTCTAAATGCTCTAAGTACTTAACTTACCCAATATGAAAGAACTAGGTAAATAATTAAACTTCACATACCAAACTAAATAGTGAAAACATAGGAATAATAAAAAATAAGGCAGAAATAAGTAATCAACTAATGACGCTGACGATCTCCTTTTTCTAAGAAGATGAGTGCGATCTTGTCTCCATCATTTTTCTCTGGTTGAGGACGATTGCCCTCGAATTTGACCCGATCTTATCTTTGTTCGAATTGTTACCTCGAAAAGGCACCAGGTGCTTGACATTGAAAACGTTCGAGGTGCGAATATGAGAAGGAAGATAGAACTAGTATGCATTAGAATTGATCTTCTCTACGATATCGATCGGGTCGATTTTACTGGCTGACAACTTAGTATACGCACGTGCAGAAAATCTATTTTGGCATCAATACGGCACACCCATAATTGCCTACCTCGAAGTCAACATGGACATTACGCGCATCTGCATGCCACTTTTAAGAAGCATTAGCAACTTCGTCCAAGACACGCAAGGGGTCAACATTGTCACCTGGCACTGTAGGCCAATCTGCGTCAGCCTTCACTGCATTCTTGGATGGGTCAACCAATCTTATCGTTATCGACCCACTATTGAGTACATATGTTGCATCCAGAAGATCACGCTGTGTTGTAACCTTTAAAGTAGAGCCATATTTTCTAAAACAATGCATGTTTGTTTTTGGGCTATAATTCTCCACAAGAAAATGTGACTTGGCTTTAAAATAATTCACGTTTTCTTTGGTAACCTCATGAGCCACAAAGGATGGGCTCCCAAACGCATCCATGAAAATGTGACAGGGCTTGAAGAAAACAAAAAGGCCAAACTCAATAGCTTTAAGAGAGAAATTATCATCATTATTTAACACCCCAAGTGAGTGGCACGTCTAGGACTGAGGAGAGTCTCCAGATAGAGAAGGGACGGTTGTAGATTGCAACGAAGCTAATAATATTGTTTCTGTGGATTTTCTATCTTGAGGATCTGAAGAATAAGGAGAAAATGCCAAACATGATCGACAACGATAAAGCATCGAATCGACGTCACCGTGCACATGCACCTCCTACAAAGATGGATTCTCGTCAAAGACAGACAGGTCGTCGTACTTCTGGACGTCGTCAGCGAGCAGTATACAAAAACTGCCTGACCGAGGGCATAAGGCTTTTCGGTGTATGAGCTCGCCGCACGAAAAACATCTTAGCCTGCCACTACGTCTGGAGTCCGCTGAAGGACCTGTAGCCGCTAGAGTGGCACCAGAACTGGACACCGCTAGACACGTAGGTGCTGGGCCCACTGTTGCAATCGAGCCGGTGCGCGCTGCCGAGATAAAGGTGGTCATGGCCCTTTCAATCCTAATACAACAGATCGTATGAAGATGAGACATCGAGGTTGCCAAGATTGCATCGGAGGACAACCTAGCTGATCCTTTCACGAAGATTTTGTCGGGGAAAGTCTTCGCTAGACATGTGGAAGGAATGTGAGTCAGATCTGTGGTGCCAGAATCGACATAGGTTTTTTGAATAAGGATTCAAAGATGTATACTAGAAAAGCATAAGCTTTAAGTATAAGTGGGAGATTGTTAGCATGCATGGCGAAAGCTTGGGTTTAGGTGTTATTCACACTATTTATGTTGAATGAGAATTCATGTATGACTAAATAAAGTTTATGTTATGTTACTTTGCTTTTGGATAAATGATTCATCACGTATGGACAGAAGATCATTTATCGTTTACTTGCAATACATAAACAATTGGTTCACAACCTAAATGAAAATTGAACAAGCCATCAGAATGGTTGTAGTGCGGATGGTATAGTCGGTCTTGACTGATTAGTCACACTAGTACACATTGGTGTATTGACTGGATCCCAGTGAGGAGCAGTTCCGTCTTATACTGATCGACGTAAACAAACTAGTCCTCGGCTAATTACTGCATTCTCTTAACCCGTAAGATATAAATAAACACGTGTATGTAGTTACTGCTTTGAATCAACAAAGTGAGGTTTATAATCATGGACCAATAACTGTCTGTTTTGGGTAGTGATTCCTACATGACATGGTGTTCTGTTATGATATATACGATCACCGTGTACTTCACGAAGTTGAGGTTTGATGATGTCCCCGAAGTGAGTTCATAAGAATCATTATGTTAAGCCCTGCAGGTTGATTAAATTTCGTCATAGTAATAATGTATTGAAAGGTGTTAGCTCCGATTTAAGAAGTCGATTAATTTAATTACTAGTAAATAAATAAATTAACATATGTTATATCTTAAACATGGAGAGGTAATTCGAGTAGTTTAGAAGTTGAGCTCAAATCGTATTTGAGAAGTAAATTGGGATAATTCAATAATACTACTTTAGTGGAATGACTGTATTATCCATATTTGAGCTAAGTAGGCTTGACCCACACTTAGTCCCAAATATGGGAAGCCCAATTTAATACCTCCTTAGGGTCTCTATTGAAACCTATAAATACACCTATTCTCTAGTCTTCCAAGACATACAACACATAGAGATATCTAAATTCTCCTTCCCACCAAGGAAGTTCTAGAGGTGTTAGGTAACTCAATAGAAGATCTTGTTATAATCGAGCACTCGCCCACCGTCGATCGTCCAACACTGTCGCGAGATGACCCGAGTCTGTCGACGACGCTCTAACGTGACCCTCTCTCTCTCACAGTGCCTAGGCGATGCCACCTGCTCGCTCCCGGTGGCGACCCGCTGCACCGGCTCGCGCCCGGTGACAGGTTGTTGCTTCCGTGCAATGCTGAGACGTGCGATGCCAACAGCACCATGACATCGAGCGACCTGCGAGACCCGCTTGATGCCCCGACGAGGCTGCCCAACGGATTCTGAGGTTCAGACGATCTCTAACAACGAATACCCACAGCGTCTCAGAGTTAGTAAAATATTAAACAGTGAGTCGTTTACCTTAAATTATAGATCCGCTACGCATAGGTTAACTCGTAGATAAATATGTAACTGACATATTAACCACGATTCTCATAGATCCCAACAGTGGGACCATAACCTAGTGGCTAAATCCAACCTCTCTTGGGCTATTTAGAATTGCTGCTAAGGTAAGGACCACCACTGAGCTCCCTCGACCCTCAGGATGAAGTGTCGGAGCTGTTGGGGTCGGAGACGACTCTAATTTTTTTTCTAAGAGTCTCACTCGCCATGGATGGATATGGTTGATGGCTTTTTGAACGAGTTGTTCACAGACGCGCCAAATGTTATGTAAAAGTCCCTTGACCGACTTGGTTTGAACTGATCTGTCCTCGCCGGCGGATGTCCTACGATGCCAGCTATGGATTGGATCAAATGTGTCTCTGTTTTTAAAATGGGAATGTGAGGTCCAAATCATAGCATTTTCAAATAGGGAACAAGAAGTGTGACTAAGATTTAATCTTTTATTTTGTTTTAATTATTGAAATATTGATTTGACCGTCGTTGTTGACCGTTGATTTTTGGGTTGTCAGAGTTGACCGTTGACTGTATTATAAATTGTGCTAAACGAAATATACATTGTATATGAATTAAATATTCATTCAAAATATGCAACTAATATGAACCAAATATGTATTATGTATGAATGAAATACATGTTTTTATGAATTAACTATGCAATCATAATATACAATAGACATCAATTATGTCAGTATTGTTTTTTTAGCTAAATATGCACTATGCATAAAGTAAATATGCACCTTTTATGAATTAATTGTGTCATGAAAATATGAAGGTTATGTTTGGTAAAATTAATTGATAAGCTAGCTTATAGTTTATCAGTAATTTTCGAGCTTATAGCTTGTATCTTATGACCTATAGCTGTAAAACTAGCTTATATGATAAAAGTGTTTGGTAAAATTAGCTGATAAGCTAGCTGAAATAAAAAATTCAACTAGCTTATTTGAAAAACTACATAAACAAGCTTATCAAATAAGCTCGAGCTTTTTAAATTAGCTCGTCCTACCAAACAAAATTTATTTAAATACTGAGAGCTTATAAGCTAATCAGATAAGCTATAAGCTAGTTTATTAGTTTACCAAACATAGCCGAAATTGATTTCCACTCTTTTTAAATATTTGCTTTGGCCGAGTGATCTCAAACACACGCTTTCACGTCCACACTGTCAATTTCCCTCTTATCTTGTTGTCCAAAAGCACGAGTCTTCCCAATTTCAACTCCAAATTCCTTTCCCTCTCTCATCATTTCTTGCTGATTGCCTTTATTCCATTCGCCGATTGCAAGGACCTTTCCAATTGGAAACAAACCGCCCTTTTGCTTTTTCTTTTTGCGTCTGATCAAGAATTAACCGCTCTTCCTCCTCTGGGTTTTGTACAGTTCTCATCGCCCGACGCCGATAATGTTGGTTTTGAGGGAGCCATTTTCGCCGTCTGACCCGTGGGTTTAGCCGCCATCTTCATGCCTAGGTTTCTTTCAGGACTTTTCCCGAGCAATTGGTGCTCGAGCGCGAGTTTCTTCCCCAAATTCCACAACTTCCGCTGCAGAATGGGCTGCATTCAGGCCAAATGCTGCCGAGCCTGCTCGCCCTCCTCCGACGGCGACAACAACGAGGAGGAAGAATCGGGCGTCTTCTCCGGCCCGAACAACGCGCGGGGGCGCGCATCCGACGTGTCCCTGGACGCCGTCAACATCCCCTCCCACAATCTCCGGCTTTCATACGCCGCTCTCAGCCTCCGCGGCTACTACCCAGAAGCCCCAAACAAGGAGAATCAGGACAGCTACTGCGTGAAGACTGCCGTCCAGGGAAACCCCAACGTTCACTTCTTCGGGGTTTTCGACGGGCACGGCCTCTGTGGGGCCCAGTGCTCATCTTTTGTCAGGGACAGGCTGATCGAGAAACTCTCTGAGAACCCTTCCTTAGCAGACGATCCAATCAACGCCTACAGCTCGGCGTTTCTGGCAACAAACAACGAGCTCCATGCCAGCGAGGTAGACGACTCCATGAGTGGCACAACTGCAATTACAGCCCTTGTGATCGGTGACAAACTGTATGTGGCCAATGTGGGAGACTCGCGGGCTGTGCTGGGAGTCAGGGAAGGGGACAGAGTTCTTGCCCAAGACTTGTCTCGAGATCAGACCCCATTCAGGAATGACGAGTGTGAGAGGGTAAAGCTGTGTGGAGCTAGGGTTCTGAGTGTAGACCAGGTGGAGGGGATAAAAGACCCAAGTGTACAGTCGTGGGGAGATGAGGAGACTGAAGGGGCTGATCCTCCGAGGCTGTGGGTACAGGATGGGATGTACCCTGGGACTGCGTTCACTAGGAGCGTGGGGGACAGTATGGCCGAGAAGATTGGAGTTGTTGCGGATCCTGAGGTTTCCACTGTGAGGCTCACGGCCGATCATCCGTTTTTCTTGATCGCCAGTGATGGGGTTTTCGAGTTTCTACCCAGCCATAAGGTCGTGGACATGGTATGTACGTTTTTACTTGTAGCTATCTGTTTGTTTGTTATTTCATGGCTTGAGGGGAAAGATGATTGATTAAGGCACATGGAGATGCTTTTTTCTTGTGGTTTATGATTAGGGAGTGTTTTTGCTTTGATGTGTGTGTGTGTGTGTGTGTGGATAAATTCACTAGCCGAGTTAATTGTTTCGTGGATTTAAGTTTTGTGAAAGTGATTGATGCGGATTGTGTATATAGAAAGAGAAATGTGTTGCCCCTTTTTTTATATTTTAGTTCATGAAATTTTTGGCATGTCGAATCCATTTTTTGAAAGTGCGATTTTTTTGTGCTTGTTGCTTTTGGTGCTGTTGGAATCACTTAGCAATGTCTCTGATATTTAGCAGTGTATTAGCATGTTTTTCTGTATGTGATATGCATGTTTAACTTGATGTTTTAGCGACTAGTTGTCCCTGTGTTAACATTAGTAGTTGCTATGTTAGATCCACTTTTGCTTAATCTGTGTGCTAAAAGGAAATATCTCATTGCTATAACCAAAAGAATATCGGGTTTATTTTCATTTTGGTTACTTGAATTGTTTTCATTTTGAATGCTCTCAGCTGTATAGAATAGATCCGCCTAGTCGTGGAGAGAGAGTGGGAGAGATTATTGTTTCACCACTCTCAATTGCACTAGTTACGATATTTAGAAATCCACACCCGAAGCCTTTATCAGTTAGACAGACAATCTTCATATTATCACTTTTTATCTGATTTTTTTTTTTTTTT